TTGGCCCCTGCTGAGATTCCAGGCCAGCCTGTTCCTAAAAACATCCTACAGGTATGTTACAGTCTTACACTGATCCCCCAGAGTGACCTGTGTGTGATAATCAGAGATACACTGTTCCTACTTAAGGTCATTCTGCTATGCTGCTAATCCCAATGGACAGTGGGTCCATTGGCTTTAAATGTTTCTGGTTTGCCAGTTTGTTGTTTCTTTGGAACTTGATTATCTAATATGTATCTGTAGCACTAACTTAAAGCAAATGTTGGTAGGTAAACATTTGGGGAAATGTCTTGCATGTACAGATGCCAGATCCTAAGTGCTTCAAAGAAGAGTCATTGGCTAGCTTCCAAAAGTGAATTTATAGTTCAAAGCTTTTCACTAAAAGGAAGAAGTAGGTTTGTTCACAGGGATCTGGCATTTCTGCCTATAGGAACTTCTGGGTCAACCAGTTCAGAGACCTGCTTCTTCCAATCTTCTCAGTGGCCTTATGGGGAGCTTGGAACCTACTGCATCTTTATTGAGCCAAAGAGCACCCTCTCCTCCAATGTCACAGGTGTTTCGAACTCAAGCAGCCTCAGCAGACTACCTTCATCCAAGGATACCATCACCAATTGGTAACTAGTGCTTTAGCAGTTGTGGAGATTGAGCCGAGAGCCTCATGCCTACCAGTTAAGCACTCTACTACTGACTTGGGTTCCCCACTAGTAACTGCTCATAAATATGCCCGTTTTCCACCTATGTCGATGCAGGTTATACTTGTTCCCTAGCATTAGCAGTCTTTTTCAAGGACATGCCTAAAGAATTTTAAATGAATATATGTGTTAAACTGATTGCTGTAGAGAGTGTGTAGTCAAGGTGGAAGATAGTTTATTATTCCTTTTAAGTCAACATATTCATAATAAACTTATTTGTGTAGCTCTGTAGTTTTCTTATTTAGAGAATTCAGCTGAAAATAGTTAGTTTGGATTCTTAGGACTATCCTCAATAAAGAACTTTAGGAAAGCCAGGAGTGATAATGGTACACTCCTGTAATCTCAGCACTTAAGATGATGAAGCACAGGGATCTCATTAAGGCCATTCTGGACTACATAATGAGTTTGAGACTACATGGAGGGGCCAGTCACAAGTAGCAGCTTCCTGGCCAGCACTTGAAATTGGTAAACAGTGAGCAGTGAAGTCCTATGGTTGTCTCAGAATGTGCCTGGAGGAAGCAGTTCCAGTGGGTTTGGTGTTTCTACCATTGAAATACTAGAGGCCGAAGCTCCTTGCTTTTGCCACTCATATATATACCTTGATATTTGTCCACAGTCGTGTAGAGTTTTAAGGAAAGTGTCTGACCTTCAGAGCACTGGACTCTGCTTTAGGACCAGCTGGCTTGTCAATCACGGCCAGTGTGTTGAATAGAAATGTTCTTAGCTTTCAGAAAAGGACAAAGGTGACAGGGTAGTCTGAAGATTACACCAGCAGGAAAGGCCATTAAGAGCTCTGCTTAAGGGCTGGAGAGATGGCTCAGCGGTTAAGAACACTGACTGCTCTTCCAGAGATCCTGAGTTCAATTCCTAGCAACCACATAGTGGCTCACAACCATCTGTAATGGGATGCCCTCTTGTGGTGTGTCTAAAGACAGCAACAGTGTACTCACATACATAAAATAAACAAATCTTTTTTTAAGAAAAAGCTCACTCTGCTTAAGGCCCACATTGTGGGAGGAGAGGGAGAATAGTATATACTATCATGCCAAAGAAGCAACACTTCCTGTTGAGCAAGGGCCAATATGCTGGTTGGGTGCTTATGCTGTCTTGGGCTCTAATGCTTGACATTCATTGATTTTGAAACTATCCTGGCAGGTTTCCCATCAGGACCCCAGCAACTACTTGGAGATCCATTCCAAGGCATGCGCAAGCCCATGAGTCCTGTCACAGCCCAGGTCAGGCTGAGCTCTTTCTCTTTGCCTTTTCACTCTTGCTCTGGCTTATGGGGTAGAGAATTAAATTGCAACAGTGATGCATGGTTTGTTCCACAGTGACTAGTTCAGGTTCATACAGAGAAGAAAATTGCTGAGTGATGAGTATTATTTAAATTAAATTTTTTTCTTTAGATTTACTTACTTTATTTCTATGAGTGTTTTGCTTCTATTTATGTTTGTGCACCATGTATGTGCTCATTGCTCAAGGAGTTTTCAGGAAGGCATTGGATCCCCTGGAACTGGAGTTATGGATAGTTGTGAACTGCCTACCATGTGGGTCTGGGAATTGAACTTAGATACTCTGCAATAGCAATAAATGCTCTTAACCACTGAGCTGTCTCTTATCCCACTATTTAAATTTTAGAAATATTGTTCAGTGGACGCCAACATAACTTAGTTTGCAATATTCAATTTTCTCAGCCACTGTTTAAACCTTGAGACATACCTCTGTGGAAAACGAGTTGAACTTCCTCATTCTTTTACTGAATGTCTGTTCTCTACTACTTCTATTGATCAGATGAGCCAGCTAGAATTGCAGCAAGCTGCTTTGGAGGGGCTGGCCCTACCACATGACCTTGCAATACAGACAGCACCCTTCTACCAGCCTGGTTTTGGCAAACCACAAGTGGACAGAACCAGAGATGGGCTCAGAAACAGGTAAATTACTAAACCTACTTGTGCAGATTTGGGTACTGATTTGTAAATAGTCTTTTTGAGACTGGTAAATCATATACATCATGAATCATATAAATATAATTTGCATATGTTTATCCAATGTAAGATAGGAATTCCATCCCACCACAATGCTATTGATAGAAGAAATACAGTTGAAATCTCCAAGGTCCTCCCTGTCCCCTTAGTCAGTGTTACCTTTTTACCTTCCTCAAGTGACCACTGTCTAACCTAAAAATAATTATTACTTTTTTTTTATTCTATATAGTGTTTTATATTCTTAATTTGTAAATGACTTTTGGATTCCAGTTAGCTACATAGTCACAAGGAGGTACTATCTCATAATTGCACCTTACAATTTATTACAAGTAAATACTTTTTTTTTTAATTTATAGTGTTTCTACCAGTTAATTTTTTTTTCCCCAGTGCTGGGGATTGAACTCAGGGCCTTGGACATACTAGACAAGCACGCTTTTACACATCATATCTGCTAGCCCTTGTTTCTGAGTTTTTCTTTTGGTTTAGTTTTAGTTTTGGTTTTGGTTTTTTGTTTTGAGACAGAATTTCTCTGTTTATCTCTGAGTGTTCTGGAATTCACTCTGTAGACCAGGCTGGCTTCGAACTCAGAGATCACCTGTCTGTGTCTTCTGAGTACTAGGATTAAAGGTGTGCACCGCACTGCCTAGCCTTGTTTCTATTTTTTGTTGTTGTGATAGGGGTAGGGTCTCACTGCATATCATTGAACTAAAGTTACTGACAATCCTTCTGTGTCTGTTTCTAGAGTGATGAGATTGTGAGTGGGTGCCATTATGTTTAGCCTAGCCCTTGGTCTTTTGAATCAGGGTCTCAGTATGCCTGGCCTTGAGCTGTGTAGCCCAGGGATCCTCAATCTTTTGGCTTTCCCCCTCTTGTATGCTGGGATAATGGGTATGCTCATCACAGTCAGCTTAGTCATCTATTTGAGATGGTGAGAAAAATAAAACTTTATGTAACTTCCCCTTGTCCTAAATCTTATGACTTACTGATTCACTCTAAACGTAGGATTGTTTCACCAATTTGTTGATATAGGTAGTGGATCCAGGCTTTTTTCTTTTTATGATTTACTTTTGTGTGTGTGTGTGTGTGTGTGTGTTCCCTCAGGTGTTTGTGTGCGTTTATCTGTACCACGTGTGTGCAGGATCCCCAAGAGGCCAGAAGGGGAAACTAGAACTGGAGTTACAAGTAGCCATGAGCCACCATGTGGGTAGTGGGAGCTGAACCCACGTCTTCTGGGAAGAGGACTAAGCCCTGTAACCACTGAGTCATCTCTGCAGCAAAGCTTGTTTTGTTGTTGCTGGTTTTTTATTGTACTCACTACCTTGAGGATGGATTTTATTGTTTTGTTGGTCTGTTTCCCTGCTTTTGCCCTGCAGCCTAAGAGTATAACACCCTTGAATTAGAGATGTCATCTTTTTTATTCACTGTTGTGTCTCCTGCACTGACAGTGTTGCCTAACACAAAAGTGCTCTGTTTACAAAAAGAAGTAAATGATAAACTGTGTGAAACTTCCAGGTTTGGAGATCTTTCCCATATACACTTAGAATACATTGTCATGTGCTCAGACTTCATCTCAGGATAGCATGGAGTTAGGATAGTCTGAATGCTGATTGGAAAGCTTACAGATTTAGGATTACAGCATTGCCTGTGATTCTGAGGATTTTGCTCATTCTGTAGGTGCAGTGAAGCACTCACTACCCAGTGAATACACATAAGCTTTTTTCCCAACCTGTTTCTATGTCAACCCTATTTCCCGTTTTCCTCTAGGATAAGGGAGAATAAATAGAATGGCTGGGGATAGAAATCCCAGCACTTGGGAGACAGAGCAGAAGGATGTCTGAGTTCAAGGCCAGCCTGGTCTACATAGTGAGTTCCAGGGTAGCCGATACTGTGTAAAGAGACCCTACCTTTAAAAAGAACAAAACCTCATTTGGTATGGCATGATGACTATAACTGGGTTATGAAATAACTGATGCTCCCAATTCTCAGTTTGATTTGAATTAGTGTCTCAGAGATAGAGCATCATTTGCATTGCAGGCACTGTGAATTGCTGCTTTCACCTATCTGAAGTATTCCAGCCCCTAGAGTGAAGGCTTTTAACTAACCTACTAATGGTGTTTACTACTAAACTATGTATCAGCCTAGAGAACTCTATATGCCAAAAGCCATTGATTCCCTGTCCTCTCTACCTGAACCTTTGTTTCTTCTCCTTAGCTTTTTATTTTTTTAATTTTTATTTATTTATTTATTTATTTTTTGGTCAGGGTTTCTCTGTTTACCCCTTGCTGTCCTGGAACTGGCTCTGAAGACCAGTTGGGCTCGAACTCATCTGCCTGCTGGGATTAAAGGCAAAGTACCACCACTACCAAGCTTCTCCTTAGCTTCATACTGGTCTCACCTAGCTTCTTCTTTCCCTAGGGTCTCTGGAGTTTCTGGTCCTCTTTCCTTCTGCTTTATTTTCCCACTACTTGTTAGTATCTTACATCTATATCCCTTGGTTTGCCTCAGGTTATTGACTGATCCCACTACACAAATCTTTTCTTCCCTCAGAACTTAGCATGCACTTTTTCATATTTTGAATGTTTAAGAAATTAAATTGGATAAGTGAAGGTATGAAGTTCCTGGACTGGTCTTGAGTTACCTGGTTTTAAGACTTGGCGTTAAGTAGTTTGGAGCTGACTGACTGGTACTGTTAATTGATTTGTTTACAGGCAACAGCGAATGTCAAAGTCACCAGCACCCATGCACCGAGGAAATTCCTCTTCCCCAGCTCCTGCTGCCTCCATCACAAGCATGGTCAGTGACCTTTAGTAACTGCTTGCCTTCAAGATTTCTTCATCTGGTTATCTGTGTTGCACCAGTGTGTTACCTGTATGTCTCTGAATGCCTTCCAGAGGAATACTGACCTTTCATATCTATTTATTACATCTTCCCCTAACCCATTATTCTCATAAAGAAAGTATGCTCTAGCAGATAGGTGACCTTGTGCCACGATACAACTCATCAGTGCTTAAAAAGTAGCTGGATCTGGCTTGGTGACATGTACCTTTAATCTCAGCACTTTGAAAGGCAGAGGCAAAGAGAGGCCTGTCTGGAGCCTTATGTGAGGGCCTACTATGACCCTCCAAAAATAAAAAACAAACAAAACCAAAACAAAATTAGCTGTTGTGGGAAAGTAGGACTAACATGAGGCAGGCGATGAGAGAGGAGTGACTGGTCACATGGTGGAGTCCAGTGAACATGTTGGCAGGTCTGTAAATTGTTCTCTTATGGGTTTGTTGGTTTATTTGTGATAAGTCTAGCTTTACCAGTGGGTTGGTTGTTTTGTTTTTTAACCAATACAGACTTATTATCCAATCAAAGCTGATAGACAAGGGGAAAGAACAATTGTTCTGTGCTTCAGGACTCCATATGGGACTCTGCACTAAATAGCCCAAAGGCTCTTTCTTCAGAGAAACTCTGGAATTTTATTCATGAGTTAGTTAGGCCCTGTTGCTTCCTTTATAAAATTCATTATAAAATTATATAATTTCATTATAAAATAAACAAGAACAAAGGATCCTTAATGGTAAGTTCTAGTAAGGTGACAAAACCTGTAAGATAATTTAATTTTCATGTATGTAATTTAAAAAAAAAAATTACAAGGAACAAAGGGTATCATAGGTTCTGAGGCTGTCTCTGAAATATCTCTTCCCCATTTACCAAGGTATATTTCCAGCCATATTCTTCCCTCTTCTTAGCCCTATTTCAGGGTTGAGAAACATGAGAATAGACACGGGCCCATTTTATAGAGTGGCAACCATGGGTTGAAGCTCTTGGGACAATGCCTACTTGCCCCTTTGTGTTCTCTTCTAGTAGCTATAGAACATTAGAGTTGCCTCTGCCCATGTAGGCAAAATGGGAGTCCTCACCCTATTGAAGATGGCTTCACCTGGTAAAGCCAAACTTAAGGGCAAGTGCGTCCAAACATGTGTAAAACCCTAGGTTTAATCCCCAGTGTCCAAAATATGAAAAATAAAAAAAAGCACTGGCTTAGTATTAGGGTAAAGGCACTTCTGAGTATGCTGACTTCTGCCTCCTCTTCTCTGCAGCTGTCTCCTTCCTTCACCCCTACCTCAGTGATCCGGAAGATGTATGAAAGCAGAGAGAAAAGCAAGGAGGAAATAGCACCTGGAACGGTGGTTCCTGGTGATGGTAAAGAGGATACTCAGAAGACCAGCGAAGGTACTGCTGCTTACCTGTGTCAGAACTTAGGCATGCACAACTGCAGTGTCAGGGAGATGGGTTGGTCAGCTCAGTCAGATTTGTTCACTTGACATTGTGGCCAGCTGGGGTAAAGATGTGCTTTAGCTTATGATTCTTAACAGTCTTCCAAGTTGAATGACAAATTCACTTAGCATATTGATATAGCTCAATTCTTTAACATATGTGTGTTTTGCCTGTGGGTATGTCTGCACCATGTGTATCCAGTGCCCAAGGAAGACAGAAAAGGGCAACAGAACCTCTAGAATTGGAGCTACAGGCGGTTATGCGCCACATGGGGGTAGTTGTGGCTAACCCCAAACTCACAGAGATCTACAGGTCTCTGCCTCCCAAGTCCTGGGATTAAAGGTGCCTGAACTACATGTCTGGCAACTTGTGCTTTTTGTCTGGAAACACTAATCAAGAGGTTTGGGGGTTATATCAGAAATCCTTTATATATATACTGGGAACGTAAATCAGTTGTTCTAAGTAGTATAATACTTGCCAGCATGTACAAGGCCATGGGTTCATGTTCATTCCCCAAGAAAGGAAATGACAACAAAAAAATTATTCCAGCAAAGAATTTGAAGACCTTGGTATCTATGGGCTGGAGACATAGCTCTAAGGGCACTGTTTGCTCTTCCAGCAGACCTGGGTTCAGTTGCCAGCACCTACTTGATAGCTCACAACCTTCTGTGACTTCAGCCCTAGGTTATCTAGCACCCTTCCCTGGCCTCTGTGAGCACTGAACTCACAGGTGCACAGACATACATGCAGGAAAAACACCATCCACATACATAAGATAAGAAAAGAAGGTTAAACAAATTTTGGCATCTAGTCCTAGCTCAAGGCCTAACTACTCTGTGACCATAACTCAACTCCTAGGGTTTTGGAGAGTTGCAGGTGTGCATCTACATTTAAGACAGATGACTTTCCATGAAAGCATCTAACCTGGTTAAGAGGAAACAAGAATTGTCAGATTTTTAAAAAGTAAGATTTGCTGGGTTGTTGAAAATTGAAATAATTGATAAAGGATATCAATACCAAAATATCCTGTGAATGAATCCTTACAGAGAACCTGCTGTCATCCAATCCCATACCCAATACTGATCAAGACTCTTCTCCTACGACAAATCCTAAGCTTTCGACATTACAGCGGTCTTCATGCTCCACCCCACTGTCCCAGACCAACCGTTATACCAAAGAACAAGATTATCGACCTAAAGCAGCTGGGAGGAAAACACCTACCTTGGCATCCCCAGTCCCAGGAACACCTTTTCTCCGCCCTGCCCACCAAGTTCCCCTCGTCCCTCATGTTCCTATTGTTCGACCTGCGCACCAACTTCACCCAGGATTAGTCCAAAGGTTGATAGCCCAAGGGGTACATCCACAGCATCTTCCAAGTTTGCTCCAAGCTGGTGAGTTTGACTGGGTGTGGGCATTGGTTATTGGTCGTAGTATAAAAATTGCTGTCACTAAGTGTTGCATTATACTAGATACTCCAAAAAGAACTTACTAGATTTAGTGGGTCCAATCCAGTCTCACTCCCTTAGCCTGGAAAAAGATTGGAAACCTGCTAAACAGTGGTACTACAGGCCTATGATCCCCGCACTCAGGAAGCAAGAGGCAGGTGGATCTCTTCGCAAGGATAGCCAGGGCTACACTGAGAAACCCTGTCTCAAAAAAACCAAAGAAGAAAAAATTAAGAACCCTGGTTTTGGCATTCATTTAAAATTGTATCTTTGTATGTATATTCATGCATCTTGGCACATGTATGGTGGCAAGTGTTCACCACATCCACCTCATTGTAAGTTTCCAAATCCAAAAAATGGTAAAATTTGACATTTTAGGAACATTGACACAACTCACAAGTTTCTTCTTTTCTCCCCATCAGGTGTGCTTCCTCCTGGGATAGACATGGCTCCTTTACAGGGACTATCTGGCCCACTCCTGGGTCAACCCTTGTACCCTTTGGTCTCTGCTGCTAGTCACCCTCTCCTAAACCCTCGTCCTGGGACCCCTCTGCATCTGGCAGTGATGCAGCAGCAGCTACAGCGCTCAGTTCTGCATCCTCCAGGCTCTAGTTCCCAGGCAGCAGCTATCAACGTTCAATCTCCTCAGAATGTACCCAGCCGGTCCGGCCTGCCCCACATGCACTCCCAGATGGAGCATCGCACCAACCAAAGGAGCAGCTCCCCTGTGGGCCTTGCCAAGTGGTTTGGCTCAGATGTGCTACAGCAGCCTCTGCCCTCCATGCCCACCAAAGTCATCAGTGTAGATGAACTGGAATATAGACAGTGAAGAGGGCAGGCTGGCTCACCCATTCCTGGACCTGTGGTGGCACTCTGGTCATGACTCATTCCCCATCTTTGTAATGGGCTTTTACATTGGAGCACGCTGTGTGAAGATGTTTAGGGGATCCACATACCTACCATGGTCTACATTATGACAGAAGGCTGTTAAATAATTGAATGGAGCCTACATGGTTCAAATATAAGGGACACAAGATTGTCAGTCCTGGAAGTCTTTCTTTTATAAAATATGTGAATGAAGTGTTGGTGTCTTCTAGAGGTGACACCTAAGGGTTCTGAGAAATAAAATGTATAGACCCTTATGTACAGACCTGTGTATAAACTTTTGTACATACAAATAGGATAGCTTTTTTTGAACTTATACATACAGCTGTACATAAAGTAACTATCAGTTAGGCCTGTGTCAACTGTTTGGATTTTTTCACTTGTATATTTGGGACTTTTTCTTTTGGTTTATTAAAAGTTGCATATGCCACGTGTGTGAACGATATAACTGGTACTGTATTTATTTCCTCCATGAACTAAGATGGTCTAAATGAATTCCTATCTTTCATGTTTTAATTTTACCTTAGAAATTCTGGAATTTCTTCTGCATATAAAGTTCTAATAGCAATAGTTTAAGCTGGACTAACCCTGAAAGTAGCTTGTGGCAAGTAAGTATCAAGGAATCAACATTATGCTCTTTTCATAATCAAACTGACCTTTTAGGTAAGTCATATATGGGAATTTCTCTGAAACTTACTGGCACACGTTAATCCAGCCTGACTCCGACTTGACCATTAATTTTTTAAGTCTTTGCCTCTGCTGCATTAGTTCCTCTCAAAACTGTTACTTACAACTTGAGGTCTGATATTATGTAAATCATTCTGAAAGATAATATACTGATAGCAGGTTTTTCAGTCCCTTTATTTTACTATCATGTTCAAGTTAATTTGCCCAATCACTGGATTACTTATGAATTTAGGGCTGTAAATGCTATTTCACTTCCAATGTAGAGATTAAGCCATTCTCCATTTCATAATATTCTGTTGGACTTTAACTGCAGGGGCTCCCAAGTGTCTTGACAATATTGATTATAATCTTTCAGCTGCCCACTCTACTGGGGAATGAGAAAAGGGTCACTTTTCAACAAAAGTGACCTGTGAACCGGGGCAGTCTGGTACTTCCAAGCTCATTAGATGCTATCATGCTCTCAGTGACTCCTCAGCTTCAAGAGAAATCTGGAAAAAGCAGTCCCACTTGTCAGCAAAGGAACACTACTGCACTTATCCGAGGTGTCCTGCTGAGCCAACTGTAAGGTAAGGGCAGAACGGGTCAAACTGCCAATAGAGAATTACTCTTCAGGCTGAAGCTGGTGGAACAGATAACAAAGGCAAACACTAATCAGCAAGACAAAGCACAAAGGGAACAAGGAATATTAAATGTGTATAGAAGGGCTGGAGAGGTGGCTCAGCAGTTAAGACAACTGGCTGCTCTTCTTCCACAGGTCCTGAGATCAATTTTAGGCACCCACATGGTGGTTCACAATCATCTATAAAGGGGTCTGATTCTCTGGCAAGGTGTACATGCAACAGAGCATTCATAAAGATAAATAAAATATAAAAAATGTATACAGAGCCGGGCAGTGGTGGCGCACGCCTTTAATCCCAGCACTTGGGAGACAGAGGCAGGTGGATTTCTGAGTTCGAGGTCAGCCTGGTCTACAGAGTGAGTTCCAGGACAGCCAGAACTACACAGAGAAACCCTGTCTCGAAAAAACAAAACAAAAAAAAAAAGTGAATACATAAACAGTCTTTCAGGGAGTAAGAACCTTACAGAAAAAGCAGAAATGCCTGGGGCAAAAAGATAGGTACTTTAGCCAGGTGTGGTGCCTCACACAAGTAATCCAATTTCTCCACAAGTTAAACACAGGAGGATTACTTAGAGCAAGGCCAACCAGAGATTCTAATCTCAGAGAGGGAAAGTGGTCTTTGGAGCAACTTTGTGGTCATCTACTATGTATCACATAAATTTAGAAGTATTTGGAACTAGAAAGATGTGAAAAAGCTTTAAGAAACACTAAAACATGAGAGAAACACTGCCTGTTCTAGAGGACCCAGGTTCCATTTGAAGCACCCAATGGCTCACATCTACCATTAATTCTAGTTCTGACACCCTCTTCTGGCCTCTGCAGTGACCAAGCACATGTGTGGTATGTGGACATATACATAAGCAAAACACACACACAAGTGACACTTCCCAGAGGAAGCTGAAGAACCAGGAGTCCTTGAGAAGACAGTAGGAATCGGAAGTAGGAATTGTATACAGAGAGAACCAACTGAGTGGGTCTTGCCACTTTTATAAGCTAGGCTAGTCAATGATGGACACTAGCCCTCTTTGTGAAGAACAAATGAGACATAATTTATAGGACTAAACATACTTCTCTTTCTCAGCAATTTAATGAGACTTAAGTCCCTGTCTCTAGCAAATACTTTCTGGATGATATTCAGCTCAAGGCTCTTGTCAGACATGTTTTCATTTTCAAAGGGAGCTAGCTGCCCAAAAATCCCAACAAGTTGTGAATAGAGTAGATGAGAGAATCTGGTTTCTCAAATGACCTAATGAAAGCCACTGGAGTACCATGACTTATGTGAAAATCCCTTTTCAATCATTAAGCTCTTAAATGAGTGTTAGCATCCTAACTAATGAGTGATGCAGAATACTGAAATCTGTTTAGCTATACTAAAGCCAAGAAAACAAAACAGGAAATTCATTCCATGTCATGAGACTCATAGTACGAGTCTCCCTTAAACCCCAGGAGAAAAGTCTTTGGCTACAAGAACACACACCTCAGTGGATGTGGCAGACCATGCCTTTAATCCGTACACTTGGGAGGCAGGGGTAGGAGGATCTCTAAATTCAATTCCAGCCATATAAGACAAATAAACCGTGTGTGTGTGTGTTTTGGGGTTCCCACCTTTTTTTTTTTTTTTGAGAACAGGTTTCTCTATGTAGCCCTGGCTGTCCTAGAATTCAATCTATAGACTGGGCTGTCCTCAAACACAGAACCAGCTCTGCCTCCTGAGCTGGTGTGGACCACTACCACCCAGCTAAGACTTTGTCACAAACCCAAAGAATGAATGAGTGAATACATGAATAAATAAGAGTGCAACTCCCCAGCAACCTGAGGCAAGAAAGCCTAAGAGAGTTTAACCTGAGACCCTACTTGGTTTGCATTATACATACCTTCTCATAATGGACTAGGCAACCTAGTCTCTATACCAAATACACTATGCACTTACACCTCTTCAAACATACCAGAACCACGTTCAACTGCAACAGGCTACACACATTACCATAGCTGAACAGTAACATGGCTTGCCTGTGATAATAAATCTAGAAAGTTCCTCTTAAAGGATATTACCATTGTTTACAGGTATGAATAGAAGGGCTGATCTGGCCTTGACTGGTTCTGAGTACATGTGCAATAATGCAAACTGTCTTCTACGTAACTTTTAGGGGAATCTAATATACCATCTTATGCCTATTCATGATTCGGTGCACAGATGACTAAAATGAGATGTAATTTGGGAAGCAACATATGCAATAGGAAAAATGAAATACCTATAAATAGAAATACCTATAAATAGAAAACACCAAGGCAGGCGTGGTCACACACACCTTTAATTAGCACTCAGGAGGGAGAAGTAGGATCATCTCTGTAAATTCAAGACCAATCTAGTTCCAGGCCAGTAAAGACAACAGAAACTTTGTCTTGATATACACATTTTAAAACTTTTTAAAAATAGAAAACCCCAAACTCTGCTCATTGGTAACCTCCCCTCCCCTCCTTTAGATACCTTGAGACCCTAGGCTATACAGCCTTAGGTTCTTAAGTACCCCCACTCACTCAGCCTGCAGTCAATCTCTGACAGTGTATCCTTCCACAATCTACACTATTCCTTTGCTCCAAACCTTGCTTCTAGTGCAAATCCATGTTGAGGCCTTAGTTTCAATTTTTGGGTAAGAGGCCAGAACCCTGGAAACACCTGGTGCAGATCCCAAGCAGCACATTCCCAGCTACCATATCTGACACAAATTGTATCTTCCCTTCAGAACCATTAAGTCTAAGCCCCAAAGAAGGGCAAATGTAAATGAATGTATGCTTGGTGGCAGGCTAGAGATAGCATGTCATGAACTATTATGTATGCCGTCAAGCATGATCCTGAACCCCTAGCCCTCTTGCCTCTACCTTCCAAATGCTAGAATTATAGGCATTTGCCATGCCAGGTTGAAGTAAAGCTTTTCAAAACCTGTGGGGCTGGCAACTGGGCAGGGAGGGGGGTGGGGAAGAGGGGTACTAACAATGGACTCAAAACCTCTTCAAAACCACTGAGGCCTTGCACAGGATTTGGACTTCCTTCTCTCTTCAGCATCCTGAAGTGCAAAGTTTAAGCAAAGTGAATCTTGCTTGGCCTGAGGACTCCCAAAAATCTAGGCTCTCACTGGGGAAGAAACCTAGCTGAAATTCCACAGGTCTGAAAGCCAATTTGTCATTGTAGTGTGGGGACAGGCTTTCAATGATAGCCTATCAGTCAATGTCCCAGGGACAAAACAGTCTATATTCTGAGGCTTGAGAAGCCTACCTGAATCCAATGACAGTGTTAAACCCAGAGAAAGGAAAAGAGCTAGCTCTAGGGCAGCAGGACAAGCCCTGAGCAAAAGGCAGTGTGTGATAAGCCCCACAGACTTCTAAGGATTGGTCTACAGAGTGAGTTCCAGGACAGCCAGGGCTACACAGAGAAACCCTGTCTCGAAAAAACTTAAAAAAAAAAAAAAAAAACTAAAACAAAACCAAAAACAGGCTGAGTCAAAACAGTCTGAGTGACAACACCCACCATACAGTGAATATTTCCTATGACTGACACTGCTAAGCAACTCCCAAAACCCACCCCTTAATACCAGCAATCCCAACCTTAAAAGTTAATGCCATTGTCCCACTGTCCCTGTATTACATGATGAAATTGAGGCTCACAAAAACTGAGTCATCTTTTTCAGTGCATAGCTAATAGAAAACTCTCAACTCAAACCCTACTCCGCCTCATCACAGCAGTCCAGCCAACTGCTACCCATAGACTACAGTCTCTAAACAGCAGCGCTGGAGGGAAACCCGCAGTTAACTCTACCTATTACACCTTCCTCTCCCCAATGTCCTGGGAAGGACCATTTAAAAGGACAGAAAGCCAAGCCCAGGTGAAAACCTATCATTACAGCACACCACCAATGAACAAATGGACACCGCACATCCCATTCTCTTATGTCCCATTTCCTATGACAGAGCAGGTGTTTCCTCATTCACCTCATCCCACAGCAAATCTGACAATGAATGACACATGGCCAACGGGCCCACCAGGTTTTTATACAGTTCAATAGAAAGGACACCAAAGTGGGGAAGGTGATGTTGCTGAGGTGTTGTTACAGGTACACAGCGGTAAGCACAGCACTTGGGAG